TCCTTTGCACGTGCTGATCCCTTCCTAAAACCTCCCTCCCAGCTCCCATCACCTCTGCATCACTCATTTTCGATTCATTGTTTAGGTTGCAGTTTTGCTATCACCTCCTCCAAGGTACCCACCCTCCTTGGTCCCTTCTCTCTCATCTGGGCTCAGCATCTGTTCTGTGTTCCTACAGCTCCAGTGACTTCCCATGGCATTACGTATCTCTTTGCCCAGTCATTTCTGGTTTGTATCAATGCTAGACTGGGTGCTCCCCAAGGACAGGTACCTATCTGGTCATTGTGGTACCTCAGCCAGCCCAGCAGAAGATGGAATGGTCAAATTTGCTGAATGAATGAGAGAAATAGGAATGAATAAGTGAATGGTAAAGAGGCCACCTCCATTCTTAATGAGCTCTCCCCTTATGCTATTGTTCGCTCCAAACAGGCCTTTATTGGTGCCTCTGTGCATAAGCACTTTGCTTAACTCCAGGGACTTCTAATGGTCAGCAAAACCCGTCTAAGGACAAACCCAAATACACCATCCTCAAGTCAGTTCCAACTCCTAGGGACCTTATAGGATGGAGTAGCACTGCCCCATAGGATTTCCATGGATGTAACTCTGTGCGGGAGCAAACTGCTACCACATCTTTCACCTCCAAAGTGATTGGTGGTTTAGAACCAACCTTTTGGTTAGCAGCCCCGTGTTTTAGCCACTGTGCCACCAAACACATAATATGTACCCGTGACTTGTAGGAAATGTCATGGATGATATTGGAGGGATGTTAGTGGAGAATAACAGGAGACCAGTGCTGACTTCGAGGGCGATCCGACTTATGCATAAATCCTTGCTTGGCCACTTACTTGCTGTCTGAACATTCATTCATTCTTTCAATACACCTGCCCAGTATCTCATACCGTGCTGAGAAATGACTGGCCCCTAAATCATCCAAATGGGCAATGTGGGGGGTTGAACCTAGACCTAGATGGTATTCCAGACTTGGCCGTTACAAGTGTGTGTGTGAGGGAGGAGGTAAAGCCTGATCTTGTTCCATCTCTGGGCATTGGGAGCAGGGAGAATGCCTTGGCAGTTTCCTCATGTGATGGGAGGGGTGGGGGTGGCTTCTCCTCTGAGAAAGACATGAAGTTTGATGACTGGCGCCTTGAGAGCCATCTCTGACGCGAAGAGGCCCTATAGGACAGAGTGGAAATGCCCCATAGGGTTCTCAACGATGAAATCTTTTTCTAAACAGTTTTAGTAGCCCTTCACCCATGTCATACAATGCAATAATTCAACCATATCAAGGAGAATTGCACAATGATCACCACACTCAATTATAGAATATTTTCTTCTTCCTTGCACTCATTGTTACGCATGTTTTGTTCTGTGCTTCCTCATTGTGAAAGACGACATCCTACAGAAGCCAACAGTCACAGCTTTCTCCTGAGGAGCAACTGGTGGTTCGAACCCCTGACCTTTGGGTTAGCTGCTGAGTGCTTCACCATTGTGCCCCACGGCTCCAAAAGGCGGCCTCCATGCAGCAGAGCCTTCCTGGGGACCACTGAGCCTCCCTCATCCATGATGAACCTGACACCCCCAGTACCCCTTCCCCTCAGAGAATCACACTTCTCCCTGCGTGGGCCACCTTCCACACCTTTGCATCCAGAGCCCCTCCCCCTCAGGGAGTCCCCTCCCCCTCAGTGAGGTCTTCTCCCTCTGTGACTCCTGCCAAGCCCCCAGCGCACCTCCCTCCTCAAAGAAACACTGCCCTTTCCTCTCAGGCGCCCTCCGCCCCTTTAACGAAGTCCCGCTCTCCTGCGCTTCCCGGGTCCCTGGCTCCTCCGCCTAGCACCCACTCCCCAGCCCCTCTGAGCTGCCTCTCAGGAGCAGAGCAGCCTCACCGGCGCCCACGTGTGCACGCAGTCTAAAACACCTGAACACAATTAGATAACATGGGTGTGTGTGTGTGTGTGTGTGTGTGTGTGTGTGTG